AGCCAATCTTTATCATTTTAACACAAAAGAGGATTTTCTTTTATGTGAGCAACCTGGCAGACAGTGAGGAAATTCCCTACACTTTTGCTCTCGGAAGCTGACATAATGATTTAGAGTATCTCTTTCACTACTTTGAAAGTATAGGATAATGGATGATAATGTTAAAAATTTTTCCACTTTCACGTCTCAGTGTCTAAAAATACATCTCTGTGAAGTTTCTAAGATCTTTCTTCTAAGAATACAGTAGTGCCCCTTATTGGTGGGGGATACATCCCAGGACCCCCAGTGGATGCCTGCAATCAATGAACTGAACCTTGTATTACTATGTTTCTTCCTATATATACATGTGTGAGATAAAGTTTAATTTATAAGGTAGGCACAGTAAGAGAGTAACAATAGTAACTAATAGTAAAACAGATTCATTATAATAATATACTGCAATAAAAGTGATGTGTCTGTGGTCTCTCTTGGCTACAAAGTGAAAAGGGATGATTCACATCCTGGTTGAGACAGCACATTTCATCACATGACTCAGAATGGTAAGCAATATGAAACTTATGCTAATTTCAGGAATTTTCCACTTAATATATTTGGACCCTGGTTGACTGAGGATAACTGAAACTGAGGAAAACAAAAATCATGGATAAGGAAGGGGACTACCGTGATGTCCTCATCATAGCATGACTTGCTTGTGGTTCAAGGAAGTGCCATATGACAAACTTTTGAGGAATACTTACACTTATAGATACCACTGGTTGTATAGAATGTGTAATGGAACAGATTAAAACTCCATTCCCGATAAAGAGCAGATCTGGGATATAGTTCTGCAGATTGCATATTTTCCTTGAAAAAACCTTTGGCTTTCACTCATGCTAAAACTTTGATTCCAGAAGGGAATTTCCAAATATGTCATCTATATATTTGCCTTAAAATACTGCTCTGACCTCTTCTTCCTTCTCCCAGCATATGAATTATTTATAATTCTTTTCATAAAGAGATAATCAGCTAAAGAGCTTTCTTCAAGGTGGCAAAACTAAAAAGCAAATTAGTTTTATGATTTCAAAGAATTAGCTGACTATTCATTTATTATAATGTTTTCAGACTACTCTAGAACTCTTACAGGAAGAGTAATGGTCCAGTATAGTGCTATAAGGTTTCCTTTATGGACACAGTAAGCCATTTAATCTTGACAGACTCAATTGTTTTTGATTTCCTGCCATGGACATCCATCACAGAAATAGTAGTTGTGATTAATATCATTTTGTCCACTAACTAAAAGCATTTATTATAATGTATACCTGGAAAATATTCCAAAATGGAGAATAACATTAAAGTTTAAAAAACTTTAACAACTGGAAACTCAATATCCGTTGGGGATAGAAGACTTTAAAGGCATTTTCAGGAGAGGTAGAAAATAAATTTTTAGATTTTCATTAATTTTAAGGAGAAAGTGAAAGAATAAACCTTAAGGAGACTTTATGGGTAATGTTTTTTTTCCCATGTAAGATGAAAATTATACCTGGAGTTTACTTACCAAAGTATATGCTCAAATCATGTAAAAGGTTCTCTTAAATAGATTATTGTAAATGTTTTATGAGTTAAAAAGATAGCCTCCTACCCATCTATCTTCTAATGTCAAAGTGAAAATTCTAGAATGGTGGTGGCAGCTATGCAGAGAGAGACCTAGAAGAACAGAGGTACCCAAAACCAGATTCTGCTTCAGTAATTACAGGGAGTCACATTTCCTTCCATCATATCCAGACCCATGAGATAAAACCAAAATTGAGAAGAGAGGTGATGTGCTAATGAATTTGATTTTGGGAGTATTCTTGCAAAAATTATCAGTGTAGAAAAACTTGCCAGTTGGATCTATGTGGAAAAGACTAAACAAAATTGAATTATCACTGGATGGAGCATTCATTCACTTATTAATGAGCTCAATTATGCATTCCTGTATTCAATAAATATTCACTGAGTTTCAGTAACCGGAAAGGCCCCAGGTTAAGCAAATAAGTCATGACACCTGCCCCTATAAAGGACATCTGTTGAGGGTAAAAACTATGGCCAGGTGCTTTATATACCTTATATCAATTTTATGAGGTGAATTTTGTAAAAAAAAATAATTTCTCCTTTTATGTATGAGAAAGCTGAGCATCACAGGGGTTAATTGTGTTGCCCAAAGACACACAAAGAGTAAGTGACAAAGTTAGGCTTCCAGCCCATCTTATCTCCAAAGTTTATTCCACTCTGGTGCCTGTAATCTGGCAGGAAAGAGAAACATACACAATTACCTACTACACAGATCAAAGACTGTAAAAACTACTGTGAGAAAGGATACATGATTTGTCATGGGAGCACAGAGAAGGGAACTATTCATCCTGTTAGTCTCTTGGCAACCTGTGAGAAGGCGTCACAGAAGCAGGCATTTGACTTAGGCCTTGAAGGTAAATGGGGAAGAACCTTTCTGGTGGAGACAGAAAAGTGCACTGTAGACTGAAGAAACAGTTTACAGTCCCAGGGCTGGACATAGGGTTTCTCGCATTTGTTATATTTATACCATACTTTTGAATTTTAGAATATTTGGTAGCATACCTGAACAATGCCACGGTCAACAATCATCACAACATAATGCATTTATAATGTGGTTAATTTCATGGGCTTTGGAGTTAGGACACTAGGCTTTGAATCTAGGTTCTGCCACTTACCAGTTGTGGGAACTTTGTACCATCATTGAAGCATTTTTTTAGTTAAATGGTGATAAGCATTTAACATGGGCTATTTTAAGGAGTATATGGGTTGATAAATGTAAACTGCTTAGCTTAATGTATAGCACACAATACGAACTCAGTAAACTGGTTGTTATGGATACTACATTATAATATCTCAGGATATCTATAAGAATACAAAGTTACTGCAGGATTCTCTTGGTTGCCCCTTTGCACCTTGGCATCGTTCAAAATAACTGTACTGCAGAGTACTCTGTTCTCCTGTGTACCCAGAAGGCACTGTTTCAGTAATATTCTCTTTCTTTCCCACTGGCTTACTAACTTGTTGGACCTCGTATCTTCTACTCTTAACAAATAGAATCATCTTCTATACTGCATCGCAGGACTCACTAGGTTTAATGTGCAATTTGGCAGATACTGTACATGTTGGAGTATAGCAAAAAAATAAGTTTTTCCTATTTATCACTTGGGTAGCATATATGTGAAGGGATAAACAGTGTGCCTTGGCCTAAGTGGTTGAGAACGAATCATGTAGCGTGGCGGGGAGAGCATAGAGTAGGGAGAGCAGTAGGAGAAGTCAGGCGGTGGTCAGGTTGGAAAGGAACTTGAACATGCTGAGGAGTTTGGTCTTGCTCCTGCAGGAGAGCAGCATGCTCATAGTTGGATTTTAGGAAGGCTACTAGAGCATTGTGAGGGATTGCTTTGCATAGTCTTTGACAAACTCCATGAATCCTTCACAACTCAGTGCCTTTGGGATGGCGTCTTGATTTCTCAAGCTTGATTTTGATGTCCTCCAATGTGTTCTCATAGTGTTATGTGCATTATCTATCATCATAATCTAAGTATTGACTTTAGTTAGCTGTCTCTCCCACCAGACTATAAACTCTTTGAGATCGGGACCACGTCTTATCTTTGGGGCCCCAGCATCTAGCACAGTAATTGCACATAGCAGATCTTCAATACATATCTGTGGAATTGATTGATTAATTAATAAATTAATAGAAGGATCCAAGGCAAGGAAACTAGTTTTAAGATTATTAGTACTGATGTGTACGATTCCTTGGCATGCCAGGAGATAGTGTTTCTGTTTAATATATCATGTTTGCTGCATTTATACTTTAGCATCATCTCTTTATTTTTTATTATTCTTTTTACACACTCTAAAAGAGTAAATCTTTCTTCTCTCCAAAAAAAAAGATTATTAGTATAGCAGTCCATGATTCCACCCATAATTCCCATCATATTGTCTTATTGTTTGACAAAAGTTGTTAAATGGATAATAGTTTGTCTCTAACCTTTTATTTCTAATCCCATCTTAAAATGAAATGCAGTGAACATTAAATTCTAAAAGTATGGAAGAAGTTGACTTTGAACAATTTTTAATTCCTTGAAAATTAGACTTGTCCTCCACCTATAAAATCCTGGTATAACTAACGATGCAGTACATAATATCCTGAAGAAAGAAGAAAATGCTGACTAATTAGTTCTAATCATCTAATTTGTTTGCAGGAATCACCAGTAGTTCACAAAGTGAATTAATGTGATCAAGATACTCAAATGCATTGTTCTGTAATTTATGTAGAATTCCCGATAAGTCTTTCAGAGTTTGCCAATATGTCCAATGATTAAAGACATTAGGCCAAAATGAACCCTCTATCTTTGCTTATATAGTACGAAAACAGTTACAGGAATAGAATTTATCCATTAACCAAATGAAATGTTTCTATAAATCACTGTATTAATTGCTGAGTTAAAGGTTATGCCTATATCATGAAAAGCAAACAAAGGATGTTGCCAAAAAGAGATGTGTGCTCCGTTGACTTGATTCCACCAGTGTGTTTAATTTCAGCCTTTAGTCAAAACGGGTCTGGATGACAGACTCATTCCTCTGATCATTTAATTTTAATCTATTAAGACAATCAGTTCTAGCTGGGCTTGGTGGCTCAGCCTGTAATCCCGTGCCTTGGGAGGTTGAGCTGAGTGGATTGCCTGCGCCTGCAGGTTCGAGACCCGCCTGGGCAACTTGGCAAGACCTCATCTCTACAATAAATCAAAAACTAGCCGGGCATGGTAGCACGTGCCTGTAATGCTGGCTACTTGGAAGGCTGAGGTGGAAGGATTGCCGGAGTCCAGCAGGTCGAGGCTGTGGTGGCCAGGAGCGTGCCACTGCACTCCAATCTGGGTGACAGAGTGAGACTCCTACTCAAAAAAAAAAAAAGAAAAGAAAAAAAAGAAAAAAAGAAAATCAGATGGTCTTCTGGAATATTGGCTTACCTTTTGGAGATACTTTTCTTTCTCTTCCGATTCCCGGGTCTTCAGGGCTTCAGCAAAGATGTCTCTATTCTCTAAAGGGAATAATCCAGTTTGAGTCTTAAGATTAAATTCAGAAAGTTATACCAAAGTGTAAAGTTGTACCCTTGTACTTGTTATCTTGTTTTCTGACGGACCTAGGAGTCGGGATGTTGAAAGGCATACAACTTGGTACTTACTGTTACTCTCAAGGAGAAACGGCTGGGTGTGACTTTTCTCTAGAAAATACAAAAGGGAAGTAATGAAATCATTGAACAAGACCACAACCTTAAAGGTGTTGGAATTTTTTGTACCTATAAAATTTGTTGAAAGGCATAAAACTTGGTACTTACTGTTACTCTCATGGAGAAAAGACTGAGTGTGACTTTTCTCTAAAAAATAAAATAGGGAAGTAAAGAAATTATTGGATGAGACCACAACATTAGAGGTACTGGAATTTTTTGTACAGGATAAAAGGTACAGGATAATCATTTCCTCGTGCTAGGCTTCCCTGGGGTCTTACAGGTCAGGGGACTTGATTCTTAATGTTGACTCCACCTTCGACTTTCTCTAGGGCTTCTGTGTTTGGGTTCAGTTACGTACGCTACCATCCTTAGTATCCTGTCGGCCAACCTAAAACATTTCCTCAGATTGTTCTAGACTGCCTGCCAGATAGATACCACCATGTAAGGGGTCTTTTGTAGGTGCCACACAGATACCACTGATCCTTCTCGGGGTGGAAGGATGGCTGGGAAGGTTCAGAGGCATCCCTGCGTGTGTTTGCGAATGCGTTAGGCAAGCGCCCTTCGTCGACAATTTGTAGACGCCGCCCACACGTCGGAACCCAAAGAGTCTTAGATCGAGGCCGGGCGGCCTCTCCTGGGAGGGGGTCCGGCGTCCTGCGGGCGGGTGACGGTGGGGGCGGGCAGGGCTGACCGGGTGGGGGATGGGCGGCGGCTTGACTCACCGGGCTCCCTGGCCCTGGAGGGCCGCGCCACGGGCAGCCGCTGGCTGCTGCCTCGGCACAGCACCAGCTGGGATTCGCCGGCGGGGTACATCGACGCCGAGGTCCAGAACTGCTTCGCCCAGTTGGCGTCCAGTTCCGAGGAGCCGGAGAACACCAGGAATCCCGGGGGGCCAACTTCGGGGGACTCCGTCCCGCCGCTGGGACCTCCGCCGGGCCCCGTTGCCATGGCGACGCGGGACGCCGCCTCGCCGGGCTGCCTCGCCGCTCCCCCAGCCCCGCCTCCCCGGCGGCCGGCGGGTGGCTTGCAGCCGCGGCCCCGGGGCGGGGGCAGGAGGGGCGGGCCTTCGGTTTCCGGGGGGTGGGTGCTGGGGTCCCCCCGCGCGCCTTGCGGGCCGTCGGAAGCCCACCTCCGCGGTGACCGCGGGGCTTCGGGACCAGTCCGAGCCTCGGTAGCCGAGATGCGAGAGTCAGAGCATCAACTTCGGGACGGGTCCAGTCCTGTCGGGAGTCGTGGGG